TCAGACAAAATCAAACTGAGATCTATTGCTACAAGCGCAGAGCCAAGAACACTTATTTTTTAACCCAAATAGTCAGCTTCTTGTCCAGCTTGTGGCTTTATTATTACAGATGAAACTAGATCATGCAAATGAGCCGATTGTACAAGATGTTACTTTATGGTCACACTTCTAACCATATTCCTCATGAAAACATAAATGCCACTCCCAGTTGCTTTGTTTGATTGACAGCCAGGGGCTTAGAGTAAATCCTTACAAAAGTACAGCAAAACCTGTAAAATGGGAACTGCCCAGAATCAGGATGCTCGCTAGCACAGGGGGCTACGGACTTCTTTTTGCCCTGCGCAAAAAACATCTCTGCATAGACTTCCAATACCAAATCAGCTTCTTCAACTCATATGCTTTTGGCGCTTAACCTCACTGCAGAACACTCTTTTCTTTTGTTCTTTCTCAAAACAAAACCTGGTACACAGTTCACCCAAAGTATCGAGGTACAGTTTTTGGTGTTACTGAAGAACTCTGGCTACACTAATGCTTATTCATATCCAGGAAAATGTTTTTTCTCCTGTAATTGTCTATACTCTGTCAACACGAAAAAAGAACTCTTGGGCTAGAAATAGCCCGCCCAACCGGAAACATTACAATAAAAATGTACAAAAAGTAAATAATAATTCCTTCACATTCAGGTTCAATTCTATCTGATCAAGAACAACTTCAGCAATATTTTTAGACACATTATCCTGTTCAAGCGTTTCTTGATAAGGACCTCACTACACAAACATTGATAAGACAACTCTAGAGAAATAAAGTCCTGACTTTAATCCAGGATTATATATCACAATAAATTCAGCAACACACCATTTAGATGATGAAGAAAGGTTCTAAAACGGGTTAGTCTGGAATGAGCACAACTCGGAGAAGCTTGAAAATGAATGAGAAGCAGCGCCAAAAAGATTCCAGAATTGTTGAAATTACAGTGCCCAGAAATCATCTGGAAATTAGATCTTCACATTGGTAATCCATTTGGAAAAAAAAGTGTTTTGTTTAATATGTGATACACCCTGTTTAAAACCTTTAAATAGTAGAAGGTAGAAAAAGCTTAAAATTTCAAACATCTCTTAAATAACAAGGTATGAGTCCTGTTCTACTCGAAAGCCAATATGTTTACATAAAACTACCCATGTTCAGGAGAGAAGTTTCTGTATTTTCTCCAGTTTGGTAAAATCAACCATCAGTTCTTATTCTACTTAAATCGATTCCTTATTAGAATCAGAAGAAAATGAAAAGTTTCGTGGTTAATTTTAGTTTCTTTTATATTATATTTGTGCTTATCCCTGGGAAAAAGAATGTTTGCTTCCAAGACTGGGTTCTAACAGTGTATCATGAATAATTTAAAGTCCATTTCTTTGCCATAAGTGAAATGGCCACATATTATGTTTTCATTTTGTCTCTATAACTAATTCAAGAACTTCTGAAAGTATCGAAACAGCCATTTCTGGTGAGTCTGGTTTGGCTTTTGGTTTTTATAAATACGCCAACAACCAAAAAAAAAGACAATTTAATTACATATTGAAATTTGTTTTACCCACACACAGTAGAACATTGAATTGAAAGGCAACTGTAAAGGCAACATCCCAACTTTTTTTTTTAACTTCCAAACTGAAGGAAGCATGATGTGTTTGGACACTCTCATATTTTGAGATTTGCCATATTTTGACTGGCGCTTGGGGAGAAGTGTGCGAAAGCCTCTGGGAGCCACCTAACGCCATTTCTCTACACTGCCCATGTAGTCACTGGTGCCAGGGCTGGTGTGGCCATCGCCTGGCTCTTGGCCTGGGCTCTGCTTCTGGCTTTCCTGGTTCTCCTTCAGGCTCGAATTCTGACCCGAACTCTGAGTCAGATTCTGAGTCACATTCTGAGTCACATTCTGATTGACATTTGGGTTTGGGTTCTGACTCGGATTCTGACTCAGATTCTGGTTCTGGCCCTGACTCTGGCTCTGGAAATGGGTCTGAAGGAACCTTCCCTTCAGAAATTTCCGCTGTTCCTGACGCTTCCTCCTAGCTTCCTGATGCTCCTTCTGCCTCATAAACTGATACCTTTGCAGAAAGAGATCTTTTGCATAGCTGTACAATTCCATATCCAGAAAATTCAGGCCCTCGATCCGCTTTTGGATCTCCTCATTGATCTCTACGCTAGAGGCCCTAGTGGTATTATACTGCGTAAATGGCGAAATGAAGTTCATGTTGAAGGTTTTCTCAAACAGGTACTGGGTTTTCCGCTGAAACTCGGTGAGGCCGAAGAACGCCATGTGCTTGAGATTCGACTTGGCGCTTTCCAGAAGGACCTTGTTTCTCTGCTTTTCTGGCATGACTGAGAGATTGTAGCAGCCTACGAGGGTCAGGTCGGAGAGCATGCGCACCTGGCGGTTGTTGGCCAGGTTATAGGGACAGTCCATGAACTCTTTCAGGGGGCAGCCAGACCAGTCATCTCCAGTGTAGCAGCTGGGCAGCTCTTCGGAGGTTGGGGGCCTTCCATCGCAGACGTGCAGGGACGCCTTCCAGGTCGCCCCTCTCTGGACGTGCCTCCACTCGCTCAGGTACCGGGACACCGGGTCACGGAGGATGGTGATGTAGTGGAAGTTCCTGTGAACAAAGCACACAGGCCAACAGTCAGGGATGTGGGTGCCACAGCGGAGTCAGGGAGGTGCATGGCTTATGTGATGCTCACTGATCAGTAAGGAAGGCAAAAGGGGAATGAGGGCCATCTGGTGGCACTTGTCCCATGAACTGTACTGTTGCCCCCTCCCTGAGTCCCACTAGCCTGTCCAGATAGCTCATTTTTTCACCTAATTTGCTGGCACCACAGCTAAAGCAGGTATGAAGTTTAGGCCCAGGACATCGGCCTTTTCATTCTCCCCTCCCCCTCCTCCCTTCCCCTGTTTCTTTCTCTCCAACCAGTGACAACGTCTTCCCAATGACCTCATTTATTTCCCACTCCTCACCCCCAAGCCCCCATTATCTGATCATGAAATGGAGACTCAGTGGAAACAAGTGATTTCATTGAAATGATATGAGGTCGACAAGTGAGCTCAAGTTCTAATCTTTCTTACTAAATATACAAAAGCATTTTTCTAATATCTAGTCTCATCAGGACACCCTAGTAAAGAACAAAACCTCATTGAAAGAGTGTCTGACATGATGCTTTGGATTCTAGCTGTTGTCATAAGATCACGGCTCCTACATGAGCACAGTGGTATGCGGAGAAAGGAGGAGCCACCCGGGGCCTCCAGAAAGAAACACTGTGGTTAGTCACTGACTGAAATAGACATGGTAGCTGCCAATGGCATATGTGCAAGTGACTACCTTGAGTTCAGCCTTCTCTCATGTGATAACATTCCCAGCAGTGGACAGTTAACTCTATCAGCTCCAAAATGCACTTTTTCTTTACCCCACTGAAAGGACACCTGGATGGTCAGCACGTGTGCAGGCCCTGCTGTATGGCTATCTTCACTTTAAAGCTGCAAATTGATAAAAAATTCTTTGCTCAAACAGCAGACTAGCAAACATTTAAACCACCCCCCACACACACACACCCGTACATGGCAGGTGCACACACACAGACCCACCACAGCCCAGAAACGTCGCAGTCTGTGATGTGATCAGGCACACCAGAGGGGAGAAAACAACTCAACACTGGTGCTTTAATCAGAAAGGAGCTTCCGCTCAGATTCAGCGGATGAAGGATGAGGTTGTAGGAAGTCATATTGTGGAAAGAAAACAACAGTAAACACGGAATATTAGCATTTTGTTTCTTAAAGGAAAATCACGGCTTTTCTGAAGTTTCTTCATTCCCATTTGAGAGATGGTGGTTCTGAACACACACAGGAGGAGCCAGAGGGAACCAACTCAATCACCCAACTGGCTGAGTCTGGCGGCTGATGTCCTCTGAGCAAATGGTTCTCCCAAGTCTTGGGCTTTGAGCAACGCCGACACCCTGGGGTCTGTCCTGTGTGCCTCTATGCTGTGCAAGGTGTCTCTTCTGCCCGCCGTGACCTTCCTTCTTTGACTGGAAAATTCTAGGCATCCTTCAAGTTCCAGTCCAAGTACTCTCTCTCCTCTGAGAAAACTGACCTCGCCCCTTGCTGCCAGCCGCCACCTCTTCCTCTGTGTCACCACAGCACTGCCACACTTAACCTTTGTTAAAACACTTTTAATACCGAATGGCCATCAGTTGTTTGTGTATCTGCTTAAAGTATGTTTTCTGGGACAGCGGCTCTGCTTATTCTTCTAGGAGTCTCACCTCGTCCATTTCAGCTCCGGACTTTGCCTTTACACTGGCCACAAAGCAGAATGGCAGTGACTTCTTTAAATGGCTTATTTAATGAAATGTCCCAGGGAATAGGAGGGAGAGAGTTGGAAACAGAAGTCCATGCTTCATCATATAAAAACTCTGGAGCCTCTTCTAAGTGCCATGCAAAAATCATAGACATTTTTAAAAATCACCTGATGTGCTTTTCTGGAATAAGGAAGCATGGGCCACAGGAGAAGCATCTAGGGGTAAGGCTGGAGAGGGAGCCAAGGTCACCCTCACCTACCTCACTGCTCTTCCTAGGACCTGACTTTGCTGGTGCCACTCAAATTCATCTCTGTAAACACCCACTGCTAACGACTAGCAGCTGTCGGTCCCCAGTAGCCTTGACCAACAAAGGTGACTGCTGTTCCCATGCGCTCCCTCCTTCCATGCCTAGTTTTGGTATTCCTTCATTCCTTCCTTCAGTATGTGTTTGTCAAGCCTTTATACTAAGCCTGAGGCGACAGACAGGCAATTAGTCTGATTATTTGGGAAAAAAAGAGAAATTTATGAAGTCCAGTGACACATTTGGATTAATCTTTCAACCAGCTTTTCCAGGCATGCATTATAAATGGGCGTCTTAACCCCCCATAATGGAGTCACCTTCATGCTTAGCTGACAGTCCTCCTGCCCTGCTTTGACTGGTTTTAGCCTATAGTGACATCTTCTGGTCATTCCTAGTGTGCACCCCACCCCCATGCAAGCCTGTGGTTCTCCTTCCAACTAGAAACTGTTCCCTGTCTTTCAGAGCAGATGGATTGCAACCCCTGGGGTTAGTATCAGGACCAGGGTTTTGTAAGCACCATCCCCACGTGGAGGGAGAGGAGGCACAACAGAAAGGCAGAGGCAGGCATTCTCAGAGGCTCTCATGGATGTGTGACTCCTTCCAGCTGAAGGTCCCCTAGTGTCCGTATGACAGGAGGGCAGTCCAGCGTGGGCAGCCTCCGTCTTTACGCTGTAGGGATTACTACGGCAGCAGAGAAATGAGTGGAGCCACACCTGGGCTCGCACACCTGGGGGTGCTAACAGCTAACCTACACTCAGATGCCGGTAGCTCTGGAGAAGCAGTGATTACCAGCAGCCTCCTCCTTCAGGGAGAATAGGCCTGAGGTGGCTGACTGCCTCAACTGGAAACACTTGATGCTGCTTGAAATACCATCCCGTGTGTTAAAAGGAAGATCTGCTGAAGGGTAGGTCTCCAGGAGTGTCCAGTGGCCTCACAAATTGCCTAGTGTGTTGGAAGTGGGAAGGCAGGTAAGTGGGACGGCTTGGTTGGGCAAAGGATTGAGGATGCTCATTATCCTGAAGGACGAGCTGCCAGGGAAATGCCAGAGACGCGGTCTTCCCACCCAGAGCAAATGACGATGTGAAAGTCCAGCCTGATGCGATTCTGACGGCGGAGGCAAGTACGCACAGAAACACGGGCAGCACTCTTCCAGTGGTCAGTTCTGTTCAAGCACCTAATGTGTACCTGGCACTGAGACAGACACCGGGGATGCCGACGGGGCTAAAATTCGGGTCCCTAAGGAGAGCATCTCAATCTGATGTGCTATGAACGACTGGAGCAAGTACAAGGCACAATGCCAGCACCTTGCAGGGATTCTGAGCCCAGCCTAATGCTAGAGGAAGTTTCTGTAAAACAAAAAAGAATTAGATGAGGCAAGAAGAGTGGAATGGAGTATGAGGCAGAAAAATCAGCATGAGCCAAGGCACCGAGGCATACACTAGCCTGCTGCGTGTGGAGGAAGTGCACTGAAAACATCTTACTGGGAATTACAGGGTAGTGGCAGGAATTGAGGATGGAGAGGTAGCCACCGACCAGGTTGTAGAAGGCCCCAGATGCTACATTAAAGAATTTAGACTTCTGTAGGCGACAGGGAGGACTTTAAAGGGTTTTATAAGCACGAGAGTGATATGATGAGATCTGTGTTTTAGAAAGCTCACTGTGGATGGTGTGTGGAGATGGAATTAGGGACATCAGCGGAGGTTACTCCTGCAGAAAACAAGACAGAAGAGGAGTGGGCAGACTGGAGAGGTATTCAGGAGGTAGAAGGAACAAGACTTGATGAGAAAATGTAGGGGAGATGATAGAGGAGGGGTTAAGGAGGCCTCCCAGGTCTCTGGCGGAAGGTTCCAGGTGCCTGTGGGCCAGCCATCCAAAAAGAGAGCTGAGTGAAAAGATAGTGCCCCCAGAGAGTGATCTGGGCTTCATGTGGAGCTGTCAGCAAAACGTGGTCGCTTCAGACCTCGATGACCTACTTAAGGATTGGTTTCTAGTTCCACACGTGTGGCTTCAGATATTTGAAGACAGCGTTTAAGTACCCCGAGGTTTCTCTTCTTTATGCTAAATTTGGTTTTCAACTCTTCTCTCCACTGCTTCAAGTCCCCTCACGATCCTTTTGCTTGCCCCTGAATATATTCCACCTTATTGGAACATGCCCTCCAGGCACAGTCTGACAAGTAACAAGCAGGGAACAGTCGATCACTGCCACATTCTTCTCTAAACGTGGCGTCATATCACGTCGGCCTTTTTGTCAGGCACGCCATGCCACGGACACACAGTCAACTCGATTCTTTCATTCTTTTACACACATGCCATTTGGAAACCCAATCTACTCTGTCCCGGACCGATGCAGTGTGTTTGTGGTCCTGTTTAATTTCTTCTTGTTTGACTAAGCTTAAGCCTGTCAAAACGCATCTCGATTCTGATTCTATCCCCCAATATCTTCGCCATCTCTTCTTATTTCTTTTGTCAATGCCTGTATCCACGCACTGATCAAAACAGAACAAGATGCAGGTGAGAGCAGGTCTGGGAGCTGCTGGATATCTCCCTTCAGGTTGACATAAACCTGAAGGGTGGTTTGATTTTGTTTTAAATGAGTGAGCCAAGCTCAGCCACAGAAAACTCATACTCAGCCTGTTTCAGTTAGTCGGGATTGGACAGAAGTATTTTGTGACCAAGCATGTTACTTAATTAAGATGACCAGGTGTCACATCTTTAAAGTGGAGTCAAGACTCTCCCTCAGTTACTCGGGTTAATTTAAAGGCCATTGTTTGGTGCCTCTGTATGCCCAGGGTGCCTTTCCAGGCAGGACACAGGGAAATGTTTGCCACCCTCTACAAATCTAGACCACCTTTTGCCTGTCACTGATAAGCAACTGTGGGAACAACAGCAACCAGAGAAAGAGCTGTCCAAGCAAGAAACCTGGGGGCCATCCTTGACTCCTCTATCTCGCTTACCACCAACACCTGAATTTTCCCCAAGTCCTGCTGATTCTAGTTCTTGATAGCTCACACATCCATCCTTTTGATCACTGCTGGAGTCAAGCCCTCATCACTTCTCTACTGGATCACCGCATCAGCGTGCCGCCTCACCTCCCTGTCTCTGGCCTCCCATCCATTTCATTACACACCCCTGTATGGCACACATCTGACCTATCATTCCCTAATTAAAACCCCTAATGGCCCCCTGTCAACTATGACATGAAGTTCAAGCTCCTCCACATGCCAGACACGGCCTTGTGGGACCTGGTAACCACCTTTCTTTCTCTCCAGGCTTACCTCTGTCAAACTCCCTCTACACAAGCTTTTCTCAACCACAGGTAATTCTGCACCCCTCTCTCTGTTCCCCTTCCTTGACTCTAGGACATCTGACAGTATCTGGAGACATTTCAGTTGTCACAACTGGGGTCAGGTGCTACTGGCAGATAGTGGGTTGAGTCTAAGGATGCCACTAAATATCCTCCAAGGCAGACAAATCATTATCTGACCCCAAATGTCAATAGTGCCAAGGTTGAGAAATCCTACTCTATATTCTATGTTCCAAGTAGGTAAAAGCAACTTTAATATTCCAAACTGTACTCAGGCAAAGACCCTACAGGCCCTTTTCCTTTGTATATGGAGTGCCTACTCTTTGGAACGGCTTCTATCTGTCCTTTGTAGGTTACCTGGAAACCTCCAAAACTCAACTCAAAAATGGCCTCCTCCGTGAAACTTCCCTTGACCTTCCTGGGCAGACCTAACTGTCCTGGTATTCCTCTGTTCTAGCTGTGCTGGCGTCTCCCATTGTAGCGTTCATCGCAATGTGCTGTATTGCCTAGTGATTTGTCTGCTTCCCCCACTGGACGAGCAGCTCTGGGAGGGTAGGGATCGTGTATCATTTATCAACATAAGCTCCTCTGGGCCTGGCACAATGTTTGACATAAAATAAGTGATGAATAAAAGACTGTTGAATGAATGTCTACAGCAGAAGCAGCAGAACTCAGATGAGCTAGTAGGAAAATGCCTATCTTTTTCTTTGATAAGGAGAAGCCACTAGATGTCAGTATTAAATAACACATATACCACTTTATGCTTGTGCCGGAACATTTGCAGGCTCTAGCTATGCAGGAGATCCAGCTATAGTCGGCAGCTGTTCCTGGCTTTCCGTGTTGTAGCCCAATGTTAAAGAAGGCTGGAAAGTTTAAGGTTATTAAAAGTAAGTAAATGGATAAAAACAAGAACCAGCCATTTTTAAAATTTTAATTGTAACGGATTATCTTGAAATAAGTACCTGAGTTCTAAGTCACAGAATTCGAGATCAGAGCAAGAAGAAACCTTTGCAATGGCAAATTATCTGGGTCAAAGCCTTCACTTTAGAGGTGAAGAAATCAAGGCCCCGAGAGAGGCAAAGATTTGCCCACAAGTCACAAGTTGTCAGTAGCTCTTGGGAATGAATCTAACTGTGGGGAATATTCCTGGGTTGAAGGCCGATATTTTTAGTAGCTCCTGTCTTTGTGTCTGTTCATTACCTAGGGCGGCACAAGGGACCGTGCCTGCAAGAGCCCACGGTGGGAAACATTTGGCTGCTGAGAGAAAACACTTCCTCACACCAGCTGCATAGCCAGAAGCTGGGGATGCTTTGTGCCCAGAACTTACACATGAACTCCCAGCAATACTGTGAATCAGATGTTATCATTCCCATTTTGAGGATGAAGAAACTGAGACTAATAGAGATGTGATCTGACCCAATGTCACACCACAAGTTAAGCTGGGGCCCTCAGGCTCGAACCAGTCTCTCTTTGACTCCAGATCCTGTATTCTTCCTATCCTACTGCTGAGACACAAACCCAGGACCTCTGCTCCTGCAAACAAGCTAGAGCAGTGGTCCTCCAACTGTGCTCCCAGAACCAGCAGCATCAGCATCACTTAGGAACTTGTTTGAAATGCTCATTCTTGAGTCCACCCACAGAAACAGAAACTCAGGGATGGTTGCAGCCTGGCGATCTGTGTTTTAACAAGCCCTCCAGGAAATTCTGATGCACACACATGTTCGAGTTCGAGAATCACTGTCCCAGGCATGTGGCTTCAGAACTGAAAGTCTCTTAGGGATTCCAGGGGTGCCCAGAGTGTGGACAAACCAAGTGAACCCCCAAGAGAAGGCACGAGGCAAGCTTAAGGATGCCCACTGCTGTCCAGGGAAAGCCCAGGGAACTTGGCTGGAGCAAAGTTATGAGGATCCTGCTGTAAACATTTACTTTCCTTTAAGGCCACTGGTTCACGAAAGGCCACAGTAAGGTTGTTCCTGCACCACTCAAAGGGGAAATAAATATTAAAGCCAGTTTTTATGGAAGAAGACCAGAAAAACTACACAAGTTAAGGTCATAGGAGTGATCAATAAAAAGTTAATTTAAGAAAGGAAACAAATTCTTAGCCCAAATCAATAGGAGTGAACATTTTATTATACCTGTAGCTTGGTTTTGTATTTTCCTTTTAAAGTTCAGCCTTTGCACATCTTGTTCTTGGAGTAATGATGAGTGGTACAGAAATAAGAACTGTGGTTGGTGGTCCTACATAGTCTGTGGGGCCTGAATATGACATTGCGTCATGAAAGCTGAAGGTCTGGCCTCATTCCTTGGTTGATGTCTAAGCCAACTGCACAGATCCTCCCACTGTGTGTAAACGACTCGGTCAAATCAAGGAGGATGGTGTGCAGATCAAACAACATTAATATGTGATCGCAGACTAAATGAAAGTACAGTTAATTGATTCAAAAGCAAATATGCCTCCAGTGGGATTGGATCCCCCAAGCCCTAGAGTTGCCATTTTAACTGCTTTTCTTGTGTGACTCAGATACAGTCCCCAAAGAGGAGTCCCGTAAACACTCCGCTCAGCAGTGGCAGCAGCCTCAGAAGAGTGGGGCTTGAAGAAG